GTCTCTTAAACAGCACTATTATGCAATAACATGGGATTCCCAAACAAAAGTATTATGTTATTCCACGAGTCCCTCACACAACAGTATAATAATAACGTTGGTCTCGCAAACAGTAGAATTATGCAATAACGTGGGCATCTCAAACAACAGTATTATGTAATCACGTGGGTCACTCACACAACAGTATTATGTAATCAAGTGGGTCACTCACACAACATTATTATGTAAACACGTAGGTCACTCACACAATAGTATTACGTAAACACGTGGGTCACTCACACAACAGTATCATGTAAAAACGAGGGTCACTCACACAGCAGTATTATGTAAACACGTGGGTCACTCACACAACAGTATAATGTAATAACGTGGGTCACTCACACAACAGTATTTGGTAAACACGTGGGTCACTCACACAACAGTATCATGTAAACACGTGGGTCACTCACACAACAGTGTAATGTAATCACGTGGGTCACTCACACAACAGTCTTTGGTAAACACGTGGGTCACTCACAAAACAGTTTTATGTAAACACGTGGGTCACTCACACAACAGTATAATGTAATCACGTGGGTCACTCACACAGCAGTATTACGTAACACGTGGGTCACTCACACAACATTATTATGTAAACACGTGGGTCACTCACACAACAGTATTATGTAAACACGTGGGTCACTCACACAACAGTATTATGTAAACACGTGGGTCACTCACACAACAGTATTATGTAAACACGTGGGTCACTCACACAGCAGTATTATGTCAACACGTGGGTCACTCACACAACAGTATTATGTAATAACGTGGGTCACTCACACATTACAACAACAGTAACATGTATTATGTAAACACGTGGGTCACTCACACAACAGTATAATGTAATCACGTGGGTCACTCACACAACAGTATTATGTAAACACGTGGGTCACTCACAAAACATTATTATGTAAACACGTGGGTCACTCACACAGCAGTATTATGTAAACACGTGGGTCACTCACACAACAGTATTATGTAATAACGTGGGTCACTCACACAACAGTATCATGTAAACACGTGGGTCAATCACACAACAGTATCATGTAAACACGTGGGTCACTCACACAACAGTATTATGTAAACACGTGGGTCACTCGCACAACAGTATAATGTAATCACGTGGGTCACTTACACAACAGTATTATGTAAACACGTAGGTCACTCACACAACAGTATTATGGAATCACGTGGGTCACACAGTACTATGTAATAACGTGGGTCACTCACACATCAGTATTATATAAACACGTGAGTCAATCACATAACAGTATTATGTAAAAACGTGGGTCACTCACACAACAGTATTACATAAACACGTGGGTCACTCACACAACAGTATTATGTAAACACGTGGGTCACTCACAGAACAGTATAATGTAATAACGTGGGTCACTCACACAACAGTATAATGTAAACACGTGGGTCACTCACACAACAGTATAATGTAATCACGTGGGTCACTCACACAACAGTATTATGTAAACACGTGGGTCACTTACACAACAGTATTATGTAAACACGTGGGTCACTCACACAACAGTATAATGTAATAACGTGGGTCACTCACACAGCAGTATTACGTAACACGTGGGTCACTCACACAACATTATTATGTAAACACGCGGGTCACTTACACAACAGTATTACATAAAGACGTGGGTCACTCACACAACAGTATAATGTAATCACGTGGGTCACTCACACAACAGTATAATGTAAACACGTGGGTCACTCACACAGCAGTATTATGTAAACACGTGGGTCACTCACACAACAGTATTATGTAATCACGTGGGTTTCGTGAACAGCGGTATGATAATAACGTTGGTCTCCCGAACAGCAGAATTATGCAATCACGTGGGCATCTCAAGCAAAAGTACTGTGTAATTACGTGGGTTTCTCACACAACAGCATGATGCAATTACGTGGATATCTCGAACAACAGTATGATGTAATCACGTGGGTCACTCACACAACAGTATTTGGTAAACACGTGGGTCACTCACAAAACAGTATTATGTAAACACGTGGGTCACTCACACAACAGTATAATGTAAACACGTGGGTGACTCACACAACAGTATTATGTTAACACGTGGGTGACTCACACAACAGTATTATGTAAAAACGTTGGTCACTCACACAGCAGTATTATGTCAACACGTGGGTCACTCACACAACAGTATTATGTAATCACGTGGGTCACTCACACAACAGTATTATGTAAACACGTGGGTCACTCACACAACAGTATTATGTAAAACGTGGGTCACTCACACAACAGTATTACTGTAAACACGTGGGTCACTCACACAACAGTATAATGTAAACACGTGGGTCACTCACACAACAGTATTATGTAAACACGTGGGTCACTCACACAACAGTATTATGTAAACACGTGGGTCACTCACACAGCAGTATTATGTAACACGTGGGTCACTCACACAACAGTATTATGTAATTACGTGGGTCACTCACACAACAGTATTATGTAAACACGTGGGTCACTCACACAACAGTATTATGTAAAAACGTGGGTCACTCACACAACAGTATTATGTAAACACGTGGGTCACTCACAGAACAGTATAATGTAATAACGTGGGTCACTCACACAACAGTATAATGTAAACACGTGGGTCACTCACACAACAGTATTATGTAAACACGTGGGTCACTCACACAACAGTATTATGTAATCACGTGGGTCACTCACACAGCAGTATTACGTAACACGTGGGTCACTCACACAACATTATTATGTAAACACGTGGGTCACTCACACAACAGTATTACATAAACACGTGGGTCACTCACGCAACAGTATAATGTAATCACGTGGGTCACTCACACAACAGTATAATGCAATCACGTGGGTCACTCACACAGCAGTATTACGTAAACACGTGGGTCACTCAAACAACATTATTATGTAAACACGTGGGTCACTCACGTATTATACATAAACGTGGGTCACCCACACAACAGTATAATGTAATCACGTGGGTCACTCACACAACAGTATAATGTAATCACGTGGGTCACTCACACAGCAGTATTACGTAACACGTGGGTCACTCACACAACATTATTATGTAAACACGCGGGTCACTCACACAACAGTATTACATAAACACGTGGGTCACTCACACAACAGTATAATGTAATCACGTGGGTCACTCACACAACAGTATAATGTAATCACGTGGGTCACTCACACAACAGTATTATGTAAACACGTGGGTCACTCACACAACAGTATTACATAAACACGTGGGTCACTCACACAACAGTATAATGTAATCACGTGGGTCACTCACACAACAGTATAATGTAATCACGTGGGTCACTCACACAGCAGTATTACGTAACACGTGGGTCACTCACACAACATTATTATGTAAACACGTGGGTCACTCACACAACAGTATTACATAAACACGTGGGTCACTCACACAACAGTATAATGTAATCACGTGGGTCACTCACACAACAGTATAATGTAATCACGTGGGTCACTCACACAACAGTATTATGTAATCACGTGGGTTTCGTGAACAGCGGTATGGTAATAACGTGGGTCACTCCCGAACAACAGAATTATGCAATCACGCGGGCATCTCAAGCAAAAGTACTGTGTAATTACGTGGGTTTCTCACACAACAGTATTATGCAATCACGTGGATATCTCGAACAACAGTATGATGTAATCACGTGGGTCTCGTGAACAGCAGAATGATACAATCACATGGGTCTCCCAAACAACAGTACTATATAATCACGTTGGTCTCTCAAGGGACTGTAATATGCAATCACGTGGTCTCTAAAACAACAGTAATATGCAATCACGTGGTCTCTAAAACAACAGTAATATGCAATCACGTGGTCTCTAAAACAACAGTAATATGCAATCACGTGGTCTCTCAAGCTACTGTATTATCCAGTCCTATATTATGTAATTATCTCTAAAAAGTACTGTGTCATCACATGAGTCAGATCTTTGTTATCACACATTCCTCAAATAAGAGTTACCCCAAACAACAACAGCTTCATGTGATCACACCAGCCTTTCAAACAACAGTTCTATGAAATTACATAAGTCTGTCCAATAGCAATTCCTTTTATCAGTTAAACAGGATATACATAGCAGATCCCAGCATCACATAACACTGGTCTGCATCGTCTATATTTCGTTTAATGTACACCAACTTCCGTATCTGTCTCCGAGTCTATGGTGTACATGATGTCTACGGCCATACTGCTCACTTACATCTTACATAGATTACATAAGCACGGGGGTCAATATCACATGCGCAGTAATGACCGGCGCTAGGGTGCTGATAACAGGCAATAGTTCAACAGTATGTAAATTATGAATTTCCGCTTTTGGATTGTTCTAATCTGTAACTACTTGAAACAATGACAACCTATGGTAAATTGTCCATGCCACAACATCCTATCCGCGAATACTGCGTTTAATCTTTAACTTCACTCCCATTAAGCCTCGGAATGCCACTTTGCAAACAAAATGGGTTTAATTTTGTTCAAGGTCCACAAATCTAAACCCAAGGACCTGAAAAACTAAATAGGCGTAACGCTGCAGTGCCATAGTATTGGCTTTTACCGTTAGAAAATATTCGAACCTCGTTATACCGCAAATGAGAATTCTTTCATCACAGATATTTCGTTTCGCCTAATCCGCCCGATATTGCTTAACAGATGTGACATAAAATGTATAAGACGTTTAAAAGGTTAGAGTCAATCATAACCACAATAACAAACAATGCGTCTTATAATGAGGATATTTTTCGGGGATGCGAAGACAGAGCTACGAGAATGAATAAGATGTATTCAATAAATTAACAGAGATGCTAAAATAACCTTAACAGCACATGACACAGTCTCTAGTCCACCCCTCAAAGCATATTGGATATATAAAGTATTATACTCACCAATTCCTAAAATCAGGAACGCTAAGGCGCAGAGAATGCATTTTAATTCCATCGTTGACCGATGCCCTCGTTACAATGGCTGACAGCAGCTCGGAGCTCGCTAGAACACACCTCACCCCTTCTCGGCTAACTGTGCCAGATTTATTCCTCCGTTGCGGGAGCTATATCCAGCACCACGGGCAGCCGCTGTGTTCTTTTTTATCCGGTCAAAAAAAACATGGTGGTCTGAACAATAAGGTTATTGTTGTGAATCGGGAATGTTGATGGTTTCTTCACTAAACAAAGACGTGCTGTTTTGGGTTAAACCGAAAGGGTTAAACCTGAGACGCTGTTACATCGATCGATGTTAGAGTTCCGCTTTTGGGCCCCGCATGGGTCCTACATGTGTGTGTTTTAAAATTATCAGCAGTTGATATGATTTATGATGCTAAATGTCATTGATGACTCAGTTTGTTAAAATCTATTTAACGCTTATGAGTCAAACGATATTAGTTTCTGATCGATACTTCTCAAATCAAACAGCAGCAGTATCATTAAATGGCCATTAACATAGAACGGTTTATCGCAGGTTTTGGCGCTGAAGCTGAACTGTGAAAAGGCAATTACTTTAGAAAACGTTAAATAATACCCGTGTTTTCCCCTGAATAAATTTACCGAAACATAAGTGCAGTTTTATTCATAAACAAACAGGCAGAGCCGTGTGATACAGGACCTATTGAAAACACACACAAAATCGTTACCCTGTAGCCTTAATTATGCGAGGCATTCAGCTTTAAAATCCGTAATGCATTTTTATCGTAATGGCTTACTGGCCCGAAACTTTACATGTCAAAATCAGCCAATCAAATGAACTCCTGGTTGCAATACGGAGGACATTTATCATATGAGGTTGAATTCGCTTTTGACACGATACCCCCGAATTCGATCCCGTTCAAGAAAAAAACAAAGTAAATATAGACACTAGATGCTATTCATCGACCGTTATCTATTCAGAAAGTTCGTCCTGTTTCGGTAGGGAATAGGGAGGCCGTCGCCATCCGAATCACAATTTTGCATATCAATAACTATAGTCTCGTGGGAAGCAGTATTATATTCTTTTTTCCTAAATTACCATGTTTCTGTAATACAAAACAACTGCAGTCAAACCTCATTAACTCGAACTTCATTAACACGAAGTCTCTAAAGGTCGCTGTTCTCGAGGATGCTTTCTTTATTATCATTGTAGCAATTAGAGGGTTCAAATCACAATAAATGACTTATTTAAGACGTATTCAATCATGCCTTTGGGAAATCCTCTATTCATATTTGTCAGGATGTATAATAAAAATACATTAGTGGCGTAACATGATGGTCAGTTAGGTCGAAAACACACACACACACACACACACACACACACACACACACACACACACACACACACACACACACACACACACACACACACACACACACACACACCGACCGATTGCATGCAACAACGACCATTCTCGACTGGACAATATTGGGCGTGGTACTCCATTGACATACGTCGGGGCATCTCCCCCTTATCTCAACACACACACATACGCATGCACGCAAACACACACGCACGCACACGCATATACACACCACATCCCCCAGGTTTCAAGCATATAGCAGCCATGTGGATGGATACAAAGAAAGCATGCCTATAACCTTGGGCCGCGGGCAGGGCTAGCGGTTCAAGTGTTCGCTCGTCATGACGCAAGGCCGGATTCGAATCCTCATATAGGCACAATGTGTGAATCACATTTCTAGTGTCTCCCGCCGTGGTATTGCTAATAATCTACGCATATTTTTATAATGTGAATGTGGTATGACACTAAGTCAAATATGGATAAGATGTATAATATATATTAAAATCGGATGTTCAAGTCAAATTAGCAGGGACTTGTATACCACATTTCACCAGAACTTGCCAGTAACCTGTAAGAATATTACTAAAATTATAAACACGTAGAAAATAAACCAAGCTAAGTTAAATGTGACTTTGAAAGTGACATTTGTGACAACAGGTCTCTGCTACTAAGGAGATAGATTGAGGGGCACAAATCAAAGAGGCTAAGGAGATAGATTGAGGGGGCACAAATCAAAGAGGCTAAGGAGATGGGTTGAGGGAGCACAAATCAAAGAGGCTAAGGAGATGGGTTGAGGGGCACAAATCAAAGAGGCTAAGGAGATAGATTGAGGGTCACAAATCAAAGAGGCTAAGGAGATAGATTGAGGGCCACAAATCAAAGAGGCTAAGGAGATAGATTGAGGGCCACAAATCAAAGAGGCTAAGGAGATAGATTGAGGGTCACAAATCAAAGAGGCTAAGGAGATAGATTGAGGGGCACAAATCAAAGAGGCTAAGGAAAAAGATTGAGGGGGCACAAATCAAAGAGGCTAAGGAGATAGATTGAGGGAGCACAAATCAAAGAGGCTAAGAAGATAGATTGAGGGAGCACAAATCAAAGAGGCTAAGGAGATAGATTGAGGGAGCACAAATCAAAGAGGCTAAGGAGATAGATTGAGGGGCACAAATCAAAGAGGCTAAGGAGATAGATTGAGGGAGCACAAATCAAAGAGGCTAAGAAGATAGATTGAGGGAGCACAAATCAAAGAGGCTAAGAAGATAGATTGAGGGAGCACAAATCAAAGAGGCTAAGGAGATAGATTGAGGGAGCACAAATCAAAGAGGCTAAGGAGATAGATTGAGGGAGCACAAATCAAAGAGGCTAAGGAGATAGATTGAGGGAGCACAAATCAAAGAGGCTAAGGAGATAGATTGAGGGGCACAAATCAAAGAGGCTAAGAAGATAGATTGAGGGAGCACAAATCAAAGAGGCTAAGAAGATAGATTGAGGGAGCACAAATCAAAGAGGCTAAGGAGATAGATTAAGGGGCACAAATCAAAGAGGCTAAGAAGATAGATTGACGGAGCACAAATCAAAGAAGCTAAGGAGATAGATTGAGGGAGCACAAATCAAAGAGGCTAAGGAGATAGATTGAGGAGCACAAATCAAAGAGGCTAAGGAGATAGATTGAGGGCACAAATCAAAGAGGCTAAGAAGATAGATTGAGGGCAGCACAAATCAAAGAGGCTAAGGAGATAGATTGAGGGAGCACAAATCAAAGAAGAAGATAGGCTAAGGAGATAGATTGAGGGAGCACAAATCAAAGAGGCTAAGGAGAGATTGAGAGGAGATAGATTGAGGGAGCACAAATCAAAGAGGCTAAGGAGATAGATTGACTGGAGCACAAATCAAAGAGGCTAAGGAGATAGATTGAGGGAGCACAAATCAAAGAGGCTAAGGAGATAGATTGACGGAGCACAAATCAAAGAGGCTAAGGAGATAGATTAAGGGGCACAAATCAAAGAGGCTAAGAAGATAGATTGACGGAGCACAAATCAAAGAGGCTAAGGAGATAGATTGAGGGGCACAAATCAAAGAGGCTAAGGAGATAGATTGAGGGAGCACAAATCAAAGAGGCTAAGGAGATAGATTGAGGGGCACAAATCAAAGAGGCTAAGGAGATAGATTGAGGGGCACAAATCAAAGAGGCTAAGGAGATAGATTGAGGGAGCACAAATCAAAGAGGCTAAGGAGATAGATTGAGGGAGCACAAATCAAAGAGGCTAAGGAGATAGATTGAGGGAGCACAAATCAAAGAGGCTAAGGAGATAGATTGAGGGGCACAAATCAAAGAGGCTAAGGAGATAGATTGAGGGAGCACAAATCAAAGAGGCTAAGGAGATAGATTGAGGGAGCACAAATCAAAGAGGCTAAGAAGATAGATTGAGGGAGCACAAATCAAAGAGGCTAAGGAGATTGAGGGGCACAAATGAGGCTAAGGGACAAAGCACAAATCAAAGAGGCTAAGGAGATAGATTGAGGGAGCACAAATCAAAGAGGCTAAGGAGATAGATTGAGGGAGCACAAATCAAAGAGGCTAAGGAGATATAGATTGACGGAGCACAAATCAAAAGAGGCTAAGGAGATAGATTGAGGGGCACAAATCAAAGAGGCTAAGGAGATAGATTGAGGATTGAGATAGGAGCACAAATCAAAGAGGCTAAGGAGATAGATTGAGGATTGAGGGGCACAAATCAAAGAGGCTAAGGAGATAGATTGAGGGAGCACAAATCAAAGGGCTAAGAGATTGAGGGAGCACAAATCAAAGGAGGCTAAGGAGATAGATTGAGGGAGCACAAATCAAAGAGGCTAAGGAGATAGATTGAGGGGCACAAATCAAAGAGGCTAAGGAGATAGATTGAGGGAGCACAAATCAAAGAGGCTAAGGAGATAGATTGAGGGGGCATTAGATTGAGGGAGCACAAATCAAAGAGGCTAAGGAGATAGATTGAGGGAGCACAAATCAAAGAGGCTAAGAAGATAGATTGAGGGAGCACAAATCAAAGAAGCTAAGGAGATAGATTGAGGGGGCACAAATCAAAGAGGCTAAGAAGATAGATTGAGGGAGCACAAATCAAAGAGGCTAAGGAGATAGATTGAGGGGCACAAATCAAAGAGGCTAAGGAGATAGATTGAGGGAGCGCAAAATCAAAGAGGCTAAGGAGATAGATTGAGGGAGCACAAATCAAAGAGGCTAAGGAGATAGATTGAGGGGCACAAATCAAAGAGGCTAAGAGATAGATTGAGGGGGCACAAATCAAAGAGGCTAAGAACATAGATTGAGGGAGCACAAATCAAAGAAGCTAAGGAGATAGATTGAGGGGGCACAAATCAAAGAGGCTAAGAACATAGATTGAGGGAGCGCAAATCAAAGAGGCTAAGGAGATAGATTGAGGGGGCAAAGAGGCTAGATTGAGGGGCACAAATCAAAGAGGCTAAGAACATAGATTGAGGGAGCACAAATCAAAGAAGGGGAGTGCAAATAAGGAGATAGATTGAGGGGGCACAAATCAAAGAGGCTAAGGAGACAGATTGAGGGAGCGCAAATCAAAGAGGCTAAGGAGATAGATTGAGGGGGCACAAATCAAAGAGGCTAAGAACATAGATTGAGGGAGCGCAAATCAAAGAAGCTAAGAAGATAGATTGAGGGGGCACAAATCAAAGAGGCTAAGGAGATAGATTGAGGGAGCACAAATCAAAGTGAGTGAGTGAGTTTAGTTTTACGCCGTTTTTAGCAATATTCCAGCAATATCACGGTTGGGTACATGAGAAATGGGCTTAACCACAA